ATGGCAGAAAAGGCCTTCTGTCAACAATTGTGAACCATCTGCGAAAGATTAAACTCAATATCGAGGAAAAGAAATATAAAAAAACAGTTAGTGTTAAGACTATATATATATATATATATATATATATATATATATATATATATATAGATATATATATATATATACACGTTTCATTAAATAATATAGTGTCAAGCTTTCACGACGCTTGACACTACATTTTAATGAAAACTCTAACATTTTTAGGCATTTAAAACAACATGCCTGCCCGCACACACAATTCCGTAAAATACTTGTCGAAAACACAACTATACTTCGACATGAAAACAATAGACAAAAACTAAAAATACTTGAAGCATTATACATCAAACAGTTAAAACCCAACCTAAACAAAATCAACTATGGAATCTCTACAAATATTCTTAAATGTCTATAATTTCTATAATTGGTAACAGAAGCCATTGGTTTATACCAACGGCTTTCCTTATTTCATTCTCCAATTCACTCTCGTGTAGTCATGTGTGACGTCATGGGATGCGGTGCGATTTTCGCTTCTAGCGTCTTATATGCGCGTGTTTATCGTTGCTTAGTGACAGACTATCATCACTGTCGTGTCCGTATATTGTTTAATATGTTTGTAATTTACATCTTTGATAATGGCTTAAGTAAGCCGAAAGCTTAGATTATATTAAAAAAAAATATGGATCAATATTGTGAATTTCTTTTCTTCGTTTAACGATAATGTTATCAAACTTATCAGATGTTACGAACAAATTTTTATAAAATAAATAGACAACACTTGTCTATATTATTTAATGAAACGTGTATAAATGAAAATATGCTGCCTAAAACACACACATAATATATATATATATATATATATATATATATATATATATATATATATATATATGTGTGTGTGTGTGTGTGTGTGTGTGTATATATAATTTATTCGAAAATCATAACATAAATATGTTATAAAATCACGATAGCCATTTTGTTTCAACACATCTAGTGTCTTATCAAGTGATGGTATTGAATGTCGAATAAAGGGTTTTAAAAGGTTCAAATCAATCAAACACCCCTCGCTAGGGGAAACGCTGTTACATAAGCCTTAAATATATGACAATTCAATAAACTTGACAACGTACCTTGGTTATAATAATTAATGCTTTAATGTTAGGATTAGACTAAAAAAGAAATCATTCTAAATAATTAATATTAAATTTTACTATAAAATTGAAAATTAAAAATTACCAATTTTGAATTTAATCTCTATTAAGTTTAAAAAATTATAAAATTGTTTAAAGAAGAAACAGGAAAAAATACATATGTTTTGTTATTTATTTTGTTTTTATTGAAAGGCCAAAAAATTAAATTAGAATAAACGTTAAAATCTAATGTTGCTCTAAGCTTCGTTACAACTTAGATACATTTGAAGATATGATATGGGCAGGGGAGGGTGAAATCAGGCAAAAGACAATACATACACATTCAGATTATAATACACAAACACAGCGAACAAAACAGGAAATAGATGTCCAGAAAGCTTAAAAAAACAAAAAAAAACCGACAACGTATCCATACAAGGAATTTCATATATAAGCGACCATACACACATACATTGATAAGGGCACACACATATACTCACCAAAAAATATTCAAATTTGAAAGTGTTAGTAAACGAATTCAAACATACTATTAAAATATAACTTATACGGGCAAAGATATATAGAAAAAATGGTTCACTAGATAAAATTTAATATAGGTAGAATAGAAAAAAAATATATATATATATATATATATATATATATATATATATATATATATTTAATGAAAAACAGACCACTTTAAAGGTACCATTACAATAATTTATTTTAATAAAATCATTTTAAAGGACTCCGGATCATCAGGTAACACTTCCAACAATTCGTTGTTGGAATTGTTACCTGATGATCCAGAGTCCTTAAAAAGGATTTTTGGTGAAATAAATTATTGTAATGGTACCTTAAAGTGGTCTGTTTTTTCATTAAATATTAGCTCTGTATTCACATTGAGCTCTCAGGATTTCATCCTCCTTAGAATTACCCATTCGGTTTACCAAGTTCTTCGTAATTTAATTATATATATATATATATATATATATATATATATATATATATATATATATATATTGTATATTCTAATATATATTATTTATATATATATTATATATATATATATATATATATATATATATATATATATATATATATATATATATATATATATATATATATATTTTAATAAAAAAGGGAATATTGAAGTCAACATTCAGAGGCGACAGCTGTTTCATGCTAGACACAAGGCTGTTGCGTCTAGCACGAAAGAGCCTGTCGCCTCTGAATTTCACCTTCAATATTCACTTTTATATTTACATACGCTCTGTATAGAGCACTTTGACCCGTAAATATAGCATACCTTAAAACTAAATTTCTTTATATCTATTATGAAATGGCCAAAGTCCGACAATTATTTTAAGACATTTTTATGTTTATACATTCCTTTTATAGATACAAATATTTAAGTAAATGCTCTGTTTTATAATAAACAGTATTAAACATCATTTCATCCGAGAAATTTTAACAGAAAATATTCGTCAGGATTCGAACCTGTATCCTATCCCGAACCGTCATTTAGCTTGACGTGCCTTTACCGATTAGGCCACAGAGGAACGTTCGCTTAACAAGGTCAAATTTACTGTATTTAAACTTCAATCATCCATGAATCTCTCACGTACATTCATATCAGCTCATGGCGTATCAAATGTAAACAAATGACGTCACACATTATGAAATGGACAGAGTCCGACAATTATTTTAAGACATTTTTATGTTTGACATTCTTCTTATACGTACAAATATTTAAGTAAATGCTCTGTTTATAATAAACAGTATTAAACAACATTTACCGGCCTGAATGTCCGAGAAATTTTATTAAAAGAGAGTAGTTTCGTTTTAGCGGCGTTAAAATAAAATAACAAGCCCCATATTTTTTGTGGTTCACCCTGTACAAGACCAGGGAGCCACTCGAGGTAGAGTGTTACAAAGTAAGAGGAACAGTTTATGTTGATATGTGGGTAAGATAACGGTTAACCCTCGACGTGAAGAGGTTACGATTATAGTGGTGAGGAAAGCATCCTCTTGGGAGTCGGCTTCACTGAGTAGTAGTTCGCGTGTAGAAGCTGCTCGATTTGAACTTCACCGATGGAATGGACAGGGAATGGGGATAGTTCATAACAATGTGCGTAGCATGGCAGGTTTTAGTCATGAAGATTAGAACTGGCGGAATTTGGTCACCTCGGCATGGCGTAATGGTTAGTAAGCTTGCCTCGCTAAAACAGTTACAACTTGATAAATGACTTTGATCCTCACTGGGCGCCCCATACTTTCGGCCTTGTGCCACATCCAAGCTACGCTTAGAAAATCAACAGAACTGGTGGAATTAAGGACTGTAGTTCGTTTGAGAACTTGCTATGGAAATAACGAGAGATAATTGCGATGTTTCATCTGCAAGAGAGGGTTTAAAGACAGGAAAATAATTTGGTACCGACAAAGACGCGGGGACACTTTTGGAGTCAACATTCAGAGGCGACAGAGACGTTTCATTGTCCAGCCCACAAAATGTTTAATATCGAAAAACTAAACTAATCGAGATTCGTTTTTACAGGTTTTCAATTAAGAGGTTTCACCCTCTTGATAGCATTTGTCGTAAGAATCACTGAAAAACCCTTTGAGTTTTTTAGCTAAAAAGAGAACGTTAAAATCGTTTTGTGTCAGTCCCACTGTCTTTCCAAATGAGCAACGGTGAGAGGAAAAGATCATTCAGGCCCTCAGTAAAGGTACCAACACTCATACACTGATTTCCATCTTCAAAGTCCATTCAAGAACCATGAAGAGAACAATGAATAGGTTTAAAAAGGAAGGAGCTGTAGAAAGTAAAACTGGATCAGGAGGTCACAAAAGGAAGAGGGTTCATCGTTTCAAGTAAGCTAAAGAGGTCAATCCATAAGACGTTTGGCACGTGAGAGAGGAGTTTCACCTATGACAGTCCAAAAAGCAGTGAAAAAAGACTTGAAAATGAAACCGTATATGAAACGTCTCGGGCACCTTGCTACGCTAGGAGAGAAAGTTAGAAGGTTAGAGTGGGCTAAGATCACCTTGAATAAGTTGGAAAATTATCCCGGAATAATATACATATGTCTTTGAACTTTATTTCAATCCTTCATAAGTTTCCAATCCTTAGCTATAATTAATTAATGATGAACATGTCATTTTCGTTTATGATCGAGTTCATCACGATTCTTCTTTTAAGCTTGGAGAGTAATTATACATCCCTATTGCTCAAAGTAGATCCCTGTAGTGTTATAAAAACATCGGCGAATTCCAGTAAGATATATTTAATCATTTCTAAGATACAATGGTTCAGAAGTTAATCTAACAAATAGATAATTACGATTTGGACAATTTTGCTGTTACTCCCCCTATATAAATGCATGTGTTGTTAAAGTAACTGACAACAAAAAATACAAGCGTAAAATCCTGAAAAATATAATATGACCTGTTCATATCTATCTATCTATCTATCTATCTATCTATCTATCTATGTATACATTCTCACCCCATCTCTCTCACACATGTCTCTCTATCTATCATGGTCTGCTCAAATGTTTCTATCTCAAACTGTTTCTATATTAGTTTGTTTATATCTACCCTTCTCTCTCTCGATATATATATATATATATATATATATATATATATATATATATATATAGAGATAGAGAGGAGAGAGAGAGAGAGAGAGAGAGGTACATATAAATAAACTATATATATATATATATATATATATATATTCAACACCCTCACTTGATAAGACACCAGAAGTGTTGAAACAAAATGGCTATTTTTGTAGTAATTTTACAACATATTTATGTTATAATTTTCGAATAAATAATTGTATTTGCTCTACTCTATATCGAACACTCTTTTAAGAATAGTATTTGTTGTTTATTGAATTTATTCCGTATACACCAATCCTATACTTGGATTTGGATATATATATATATATATATATATATATATATATATACCGTGTGTAACAGCAAAATTGTCCAAATCGTGTAACAGCATAATTGTCCAAATCGTGTAACAGCAAAATTGTCCAAATCGTGTAACAGCATAATTGTCCAAATCGTGTAACAGCATGAGATAATTCCAAATCCAAGTATAGGATTGGTGTATACGGAATAAATTCAATAAACAACAAATACTCTCTCTCTCTCTCTTAATATATATATATATATATATATATATATATATATATATATATATATCGAGAGAGAGAAGGGGTAGATATAAACAAACTAATATAGAAACAGTTTGAGATAGAAACATTTGAGCAGACCATGATAGATAGAGAGACATGTGTGAGAGAGAGATGGGGTGAGAATGTATACATAGATAGATAGATAGATAGATAGATAGATATGAACAGACTGAGATAGATAGATAGATAGATAGATAGATAGATAGATAGATAGATAGATATAGATATGAACAGACTGAGATAGATAGATAGATAGATAGATAGATAGATAGATAGATAGATAGATAGATAGATAGATATGAACAGACTGAGATAGATAGATAGATAGATAGATAGATAGATAGATAGATATGAACAGACTGAGATAGATAGATAGATAGATAGATAGATAGATAGATAGATATGAACAGCCTGAGATAGATAGATAGATAGATAGATAGATAGATAGATAGATAGATAGATAGGAACATTATTTAATAGCTCAACAGACAGATAGTTGCATGTAGGGTGCTGAAAGTTTCTCGGTCCAACCAAACGGGGTTTCAAAAAAAGTTCTCCTGTTTGTTGACTTGACCAGATCTGAGGGAGTTAGTCGGACCGCGAACATCTCAGCATCCCTTCGGAGGTAAGATAGGATAAATTGAGTCCCAGACAGGCAGACGGGCAGAAAGAGGGATGGGAGAGGGGTGAACCACGAAGATGCTGGTGAAAAAAAATGGTAGGCAGTTTGATAGAGAGATTTATATTTTTCCTCCATTTAGTTCGCGTTTGGCGAAATTCTGCTTTGAGAAAAAGTGTAAGCTACTTTAAAACGCGGGAAAAGAAAGAAATAAACAAAGCTGTCGAATCGAGCGGATGGAACCGATATGGTCGACTGAATCGTGATAAGATTTTTTATTTCGTCTCTTATTTTTATATTTTTTGCGGAATCCAAAGTGCAAGCGAGCCAAAAAGCAGAAAATGTGGCACTTACTGAGCCAAAGAATGCAGAGCGTGTCAAAATGGCGGAAATCGGGAGAGATAGCTGGCTGGGATAGACTGAACTTGAGTTCACCTGTCGAGCGTTTGGCCTTTTTTGTTTCAAGGCAAACGATTGCAGCCGTCATGGCGAATCCGTTTCGTTTCTGTCACTCGGCCTTTATTTTATCTTATTTTTCTTCTTTTTTTTTTCACATTCTTTTTTATTTTATTTCTTTCCCACTGATTCTTGCATCTTGCTTGCTTGTTCACCGTTGGGGGTATATCATTCACGTCCTTTGAAGTTGGTCTTTGTTAAGTCGAGAGAGAAGGCAAGAAATTGGGAACGAGACTACAGAAAAAGAGAAATACAGACACACACACACACACACACATATATATATATATATATATATATATATAGAGAGAGAGAGAGAGAGAGAGGAAGGATAGTGAGGGAGGGGGGGAGAGAAACAGATAATTGAGAGACAGGGCGAGAATGAGATAATATATATATATATATATATATATATATATATATGCACACGCCCTGTTTTTTAAACAGTGGGAATCACGTTTACCGACCTACGCATTCGAGAAAATTAATAAAGGGAATGTGCTCTCTGTCAGGGTTCGAAACTGCGTCTAATTTAGTATGGGAAACCACTGTCTAGTCCGGCAAAATGCCGACCGCTCAACCACACATACATACATATATTAAAGACATTTTTATGTTTAACGTTCTTTTTATAGATACAAGTATTTAAGTAAATGCTCTGTTTATAATAAACAGTATTAAATTACATTTACCGGCCTTTGTCCGAGAAATTTTCATAGAAAATATTCGTCCTTTGACAGGATTCGAACCTGCATCCTATACGGAACCGTCATTTACGCTGACGTGCCTTATCGACCGGCCACAAAGGAGCGTTCAGTAGGCATGGTCGAATTTACTGCTTATAAACTTCAATGGATTGAAGTTTTAATAAATAAATTGTCGGACTTTGTCCATTTCTTATATATATATATATATATATATATATATATATATATATATATATATATATATATATATATATATATATATATATATATATATATATATATATATATACCACTGCAGATTTGCTAAAAAATGAGCATACCATCATGAAAATGGTATCACAAACAAAAAAAGTTTTATCGTCAAAATCTGTTATTATTAAAAGGAAAGACCAAATGATTTTTAGATTTTTAAATAATTACTTCTTTTTTAGAACGTTTGAAATTTTGGTTAATTTGTTTTCCTTGCTTCAACGGCGCTACCAAAGATTAGTATAGATTAGTATAGATTAGTACAGATTAGTATAGATTAGTATAGATTAGTACAGATTAGTATAGATTAGTATAGGACATTTTAGTGTCTTTTTTGTTGTTACCTACCACTTATTTCATTTTATGAAATTTCAAGAAAATAAATTTTGTAACGCTTAATGAAAATAAATTTTTTAACGCTTCATGAAAAGTCTTTCTTGAAGCTTTTAAATGTTTATAAATTGGTTATTTGCAGAACTCCTTCGAGAATTTAATTTCACTTCTGTTTTTTTCGTCAAACCGGAACCCCAGTTACCGAAAATCAACTCTGAATCCTAAAATAAAAAATACAAAAAAATTAATGCATTATTTAATTAGAAAAGCTTTTAATTGCTTTCATTAATAAGAATAAAAATAAAATATATTATAGAGACTATTGTCTTAAAAGAAACTTTTTTGGTGAATATGAATTTTTACATGAATTGTTTTCATTTTTATTTTTAATTTGTATAATTTATCAATTCTGAAATCTTTTAAATTTCTGTATTAGTATAAAGAGTGTAATGATTGTTTTGTCGTGGTTAATGCTGAATTATGGGGAGCAAGTTCGTATATTTCCGGATTATTGCGTTATCCTAATACTTTTATGTCTCTCTCTTTATATATATATATATTAAGACATTTTTATGTTTATACATTCTTTATATATACACAAATATTTAAATATTTGTCTCTATATAAAGAACGTATAAACATAAAAATGCCTTTAAATAATTGTCGGACTTTGTTTATTTCATAACATATATATATATATATATATATATATATACCTAATAATTGTACTCGGGCTTTGTTTTGCTGTTTAAAACTTGACAAAAATTGTTTATATAAATTTCAAGATATTGAAGTCTATGCGATGGACTTTTCATAATAACTTCAGACGCGCGTTAACCCTCAAAAAAGGGGTAAAATGCATTTTCAATAATGAAAAGTCTTTCTTGAAGCTTTTAAAAGTTTACAAATTATTCTAATTAAATTTGAGAGATATGAAAAAATTACCTCTAAAACTTCATTATTTATCGAATTTTTTCTCGTAAAACCAGTGTTCATGATCTTTTTTATTCATAAATGCAATTGAAAAGTTTCTAATAATGAGTTTTATTCCAATTTTTTTTTCAATTTACGATTCAGATTATTTAAATTCCCCGAGAATATAACTTATAATATAATATATAATTATAACTAATATAAATATTAAGCACCAAGAATTTCTCTAAATTTTATAGAAGTAAATAGAGGGGAAAAAAAAGTCCATAATTTTCTTAAGAAGAAACATTTAAAAAATAATTTCTTTCATTCGTGATTAAGTCCTGAAAGTTTGATTTAAATGTGAAAGTTACCTGATTTTTGGAAGAATTCTCATATCAATGTTTTTCACTGCAAAAAGAGGTTCACACTTTCCGTAGAAATTAATGGTCACGTGCTGCAACTATGAAAAACAAGAATTTTAACCAAAATTTTCCAGATTCTAAAAAGTTTTTAAGAAATTTTTACATCGAAAAATTAACATATTTTGGATATTTTTTTTTCATTATGTATGCTCAATTTTAGCGAAAAATTTATATATGTATATTAGCAAAATATTATGTCTATATATATATATATATATATATATATATATATATATAAGAAAAATAATAGTCTTAAGATGTGCTATATTTATGGGATAAAGTGCTCAATATCAGCGATAGAGCGTGTGTAAATATAAAGTGAACATAGAAGTCAACACTTAGAGGCGACAGTCTGTTTTATGCTAGATTCAATCGTCAGGCCTGACGATTGAATCTAACATGAAAAACAGACTGTCGCATTTCTATTTCTATGTTCACTTTTATATATATATATATATATATATATATATATATATATAATTATGAAAGTAGAGACTTTAAAAGTTCATGGTAATATTTTTTTTTTAATTTTGTGAAAATATTTGGTCTGATGAGTTAGAACCGAAGTATAGGTTTTAATGAAATAAAATATTACCATAAAATTTTAACTTCTCTGGTTTCATAATTATTATTTGCTCTGTTAATACATTGAGCTCTCTGGATCTATATCCTCTTTGGAATTATCAAATGAATTACCAAATTATATATATATATATATATATATATATATATATATATATATATATATATAAGAAAAATTTCCAAATTAATGATTTTCACAGCAAAGAGGGTTCAAATTTCCTGTAGAAATTTCTGGTCACGTGTTGTAGCTATGAAAAACAGAATAGTTAACCAAAATTTAGCAGATTTTAAAAAAGTTAAAAAAAAAATTTTACGTCGAAAAATCAAAATGTTTTGGACCATTTTAGCGAATATTTGAGGTACCTATATATATATACATATATATATATATATATATATATATATATATATATATAAAAAATTACGCACTCCTAAAATTATATATATATATATATATATATATATAAATTAAGAAAAAAATTCGAGGGAGTGCGAGAAAAAAGCAAAAAGGAAAAATAAAATTTTATGAAACAACAAAAGAAATTTCTGGAGGACGAAAAATGTTATCAACTGAAAAAACAGAAAAGAAAACTAAAAATTTATAAACTTTTTAAAAAAGTTATAAAAAAATATTTATATATAAAAATCAAAATGTTTTGGACCATTTTAGCGAATATTTGAGGACAACCTATATATATACATATATATATATATATATATATATATATATACACGTAATTTCACATATATAATGTACTTAAATTCATCCATAATACTCCTAAAATTATATATATATATATATATATATATATATATATATATATATAAGAAAAAAATGTCGAGGGAGTGAGTGCGAAGAAAAAGTTCAAAAATTGCAAGAGTGAGTGAAAAATAAAAGTAATTTTATGAAACAACAAAACAAACGGATATGAATTCGAAGAGGAGAGAAAAAATGATATATCCAACTGAAAGAAAAAAGATGATGAAAGAAATACTAAGAAAGCATAAACTTTTATTATATATATATATATATATATATATATATATATATATATATATATAATATAATATGTTGGGTAGTGGTGGATGACCGGGGCTCATTTAGAATTCCCAGCCATTGCCCCTGCCTTTACACCGACCCGAAAGTTGTTTTCGCTATGCGTGACAAAGGGCTGAGACAATTGGCAGCACTTGGATAACTTTCCCCTCTTTCCCAACACTAAACCATTATTTAATTGTTGAGGAGGAGAACTGAAGCATCCCCATCTTTATTATCACTCAGCATCCTAAGTTTTTTTACACGCTCCCACTTATTTCCCCCAGCATCCACTTTATTATCCCACAAGCATACTCAATGTTATCCATACTAAATGTAGAGATAAATAGGCAGAAAAAGGCCGAATAAGATAGATAGATAGATAGATGGATTATCCCTCTGCATCCATCCTTATTATCATGATCCTAAGATACTGAGATAGATCCCAGATAGATAGATAGATAGGATGAGATAGATAGATAGATAGATAGATATCCCATCACTATCAAGTTATACCCAACATCCCTCAGGAGATAGATAGATAGATAGATTAATAGATATTATAGATAGATAGATTATGGACATGAAGAGACCCTGAGCATCCCATATTATAGACCAGCATATCCGATAGATACCCAAGATATCCTTGATCCAGATAGGATCCCGATTAATAGATGATCCTATCATGAAGAGACTGATAGATCCCATCCTTATTATCCCATCAGATAGATTGTTATATACCCAGGATCCCGTCTTTAGATCCATAGATCAGCTTCAACCCTTATTGTGACATCAATAGCATAGATAGATTAAAAGTGATCTTTATTATCCCATACTCAGCATCCCATCTTTATTATCCCAACCTCAGCATCCTAAGTTTATTATGACCCTCTGCATCCCATCCTTATTATCCCACACCAGCATCCCATCTTTATTATCCCATACCCAACATCCTATCCTTGTGGGGATCACTATTATCCCATACCAGCATCTCATCGTTATTATCCCATCACTATCATCTCATCCTTGTTTGACTCAGGATCAATCTTTATTATCCCAGCAAATTTTATTATCCCCAAATCCCATCCAAACTTCAGCATCCTAAGTTTATTATCCCACCCTCTGCATCCCATTTATTATTCAGCATCCCATCTGTTATCCTCATCTATTTGTTTTCAGGATTATCTTTAATGTTTCGCATCCTATCCTATTATCCCTTCCTCCCATGTATTATCTATCATCTCATGGGTAACCTTTTATTATCCCATACTTCAACCCTTATTATGACAGGTCATCAGCAATCCTTTATTTAATGTACGGGGGTAGACTGTTCTCGTTCCACTGTTCATGTCGAGGTAAATCTTGGCCTCTAAACATGGATAGTTGGACCGGAGAACGTCTACGCCCGTTGATTAAATAAAGTGTTCAGTTCAGAATTCCCCTGACGTTTGCCCAAATCGATATATCCCAGGACTATCATCTCATCCTTGTTATCGAAACAGGTTGTGGATCCCCATACTCAACAACCAATGAGAACAGCATCCCATCCTTATTGTGAATAGTGGAAATAATGATAACTCCTCATCCCAGAAATTCGGACAAATATGAGCATTTATTTTGAAAAAATCTCAGCATCCTATCTTTATTATTCAATCCTCAGCATCCTATCTTTATTATCCCATACTCAGCATCCCATCCTTATTATCACATCATTCAGCATCCAATCTTTATTATCCTATACTCAGCATCCCATCTTTATTATCCCAACCTCAGCATCCTAAGTTTATTATCCCACCCTCTGCATCCCATCCTTATTATCCCATACTCAGCATCCCATCTTTATTATCCCATACCCAACATCCTATCCTTGTTATCCCATACTCAGCATCCTATCACTATTATCCCATACTCAGCATCTCATCCTTATTATCCCATCACTATCATCTCATCCTTGTTATCCCATACTCAGGATCCCGTCTTTATTATCCCATACTCAGCATCCTAAGTTTATTATCCCACCCTCTGCATCCCATCCTTATTATCCCATACTCAGCATCCTAAGTTTATTATCCCACCCTCTGCATCCCATCCTTATTATCCCATACTCAGCATCCCATCTGTATTATCCCATACCCAACATCCTATCCTTGTTATTCCATACTCAGGATCCCGTCTTTATTATCCTATACTCAGCATCCTATCACTATTATCCCATACTCAGCATCCCATCCTTATTATCCCATCACTATCATCTCATCCTTGTTATCCCATACTCAGGATCCCGTCTTTATTATCCCATACTCAGCTTCCAACCCTTATTATGACATCATCAGCATCCCATCCTTATTATCCCATACGCAGTGCCCCATCTTTATTATCCCATACTCAGCATCCCATCTTTATTATCCCAACCTCAGCATCCTAAGTTTATTATCCCACCCTCTGCATCCCATCCTTATTATCCCATACTCAGCATCCCATCTGTATTATCCCATACCCAACATCCTATCCTTGTTATTCCATACTCAGGATCCCGTCTTTATTATCCTATACTCAGCATCCTATCACTATTATCCCATACTCAGCATCCCATCCTTATTATCCCATCACTATCATCTCATCCTTGTTATCCCATACTCAGGATCCCGTCTTTATTATCCCATACTCAGCTTCCAACCCTTATTATGACATCATCAGCATCCCATCCTTATTATCCCATACGCAGCGCCCCATCTTTATTATCCCATACTCAGCATCCTATGTGTATTATCTCATACACAGCATCCCATACTTATTATCCCATTCTCATCATCCCATCCTTGTTATCCCATACTCAGCATCCCATCCCATCTTATCCATCAAATGTTCTTTAATATTGTATGTTGATTACTTTATTGCCTGATTTTCTTAAGGCTTATCAAGCCAAACACATTTTAAAGCCGAAACATTTTTTGTAAGATTTTTTGCTTTTTTTGCGTATGAATATGATAATAACATGTTTTGAGAATCATCATTATTTCTCCAGATACCAGTCTTACTATTTAACCTATAGCGGGGAACTCTTAGTGTTGAAAACCGCGATAGTTATACTTACTAACCATAAATTTACATACAAAATAGTGTATTTAAGCAGCCGTTATTTTAAATATGTTTAGAGAAAACTATAGACATTATATCTTTATTACTATAAAAGTCTGTGAACGTTGCTTGTGATCATATATAGAGAGTGGGGAAAAGAAAGATGTATATTTATTAAAAACTACGTTCTCTCTTTCCACTCACCTCTCTCTCTTTTCACCTTGCGTGCGTGCTTATTTAAACAAACAAAATTTTAAATATTTTAAAAATACGAGCAAAAATATTGTATTTAAAAATGTTTTGTAAATAAATATAAAATTTAATAAAATGTATTATATGTTTCCTAAACTAACTGCAAATAAATGTATTTTTAAAATATCTCTACTTCCATAAACTCTTCACAAAACTAAATGTAAACAGTAAACACAAGGTTGACCTCACGGGTCACGTGTGGTTCTAGTATTCGTTTAAATTCAACCATCTTCTTTTCTAAATTGTGTATAATCTTCTGTAACCTTGGCTACTACGGATGCACAAAATGTCCAAAATCAAAGCCGTGTCCAATCTTTTGACGAGAATAATTTATTTATTGATTGAATGTTTCGTTTTTTTACGGCTTATCAACACTTTGCAGGTTATTTAAAGTCAGTAAATATTTTTAGAGTGTAAGAAATTTTTGTTAGGGAGAAAATAAAGGTTTAGTGATACAAGTCTTGGTAATTAACCCATAGCTGGGGGGGAGAAGGGTTCAGTTCGTACATTTCCCAAGGGTATTTGCGTGTAAGTGAATATAACGAACCCCACGGGAATTGGAACTCGGCTCCGCGATTAACAATTCAGTGCCATTATCCATGACACCACACACACGCACCCAAGCTTACAGCACCTAGTATGGCAAAGCTGTCACCAATTTAGGTACTGACCATGCTCGACGTTGCTTAACTTCGTACGTGTTTCAACGCGATGTGGCCGTAAGCCAGTCGACTGGCATACGTCATCTTCAGGTGTGTACAAGCGAAGTGAAGAAAATCAAAAAGCAGGTTATTTTTACGTGTCCTTCCATTTTATTTTTAAATCGAATCAATTAAATACAAACGCAGGAAGTTTTTTTTTTCAGCAACGTGCTACGGTAACGCGATTCATACATGTGTCTTCTTTTTTTATTCATTTAACCTCGAGGAAGGAAATAAAGCCACTAAGATGCAATGGGTTACTGAGAATATGAAAACAAAAAAACATTATTAAGGAGAGAGAACATTAAAAAAAGCAAGAATCTGAATTATCTGTTATCTCATTCTCCCTCTCTCATTCTCCCTCTCTCATTCTCCCTCTCTCATTCTCTCCCTTTCTCATTCTCTCCCTCTCTCATTCTCTCACTCTCATTCTCCCTCTCATTAAAAAAAGCAAGAATCAAGAAGACAGTAGAGAACAATAGACAGTATATATTTTTTAAAATCAAATTTAACTGGAAAGCAAGAAGCCAAGGGAGAATTCCAGAGGTAATAAAGGGCGATAGAAGAAACTATTAGCATAGAACTTACGGTTAAATCTAACCATTTTAACTGTAAATTAATAAGACCTTGCTAACAATATGGTAATGCGCTTAAACCATGGCCCAATATATACCATTTTGAAATCATGCCGACAAATTAAAATCATTCCGGGCCGAATCCGCAATCCTGAAAATTTGGATTCTCAAGTGTTGATTACTGCCATTGTTTTTGGATTCCGCCATCTTGGCTTCTACTGATAAATAAAAAATTAAAGGGACGCAACTCTCTAATTTTCAATAGCTCATGTTCAAATGAAAAAATATTTTTTTCAAATTACAGTTTTTCAAAATAAAATTGTCCGTGTTTTCAACTTCACTCCAAGAGGCTGTAGTTCAATATACCATTTTGGAATCAGGCTGACTCCGTGAGCAAATTAAAAATATTTGGAGCCGGATTCGAACCCGCAATCCTGAAATTTTAGATTCTCACGTTTTTATTACTGCGATTGCTTTCGGCGATTTTTTTACGTGATTTTTTTGCGACGGATTTTTTTTTTTTTTGTACGATAAATAATTTTTATAACTTGGAAATAAATTTTGGAATAATCCAAATTAAATGCGAAATCCAGCAAAAGTCACCCATGAAATAAAATAATCGTTCGTACGGAAAATAAAGACCTACGTACTTCAAATTCTCTTGAAATTAATTTCTTTCTTTTTTTAAGCATTCCACCCCAAGCAAGGCGGGAAGCCACTAGCACGCAAGGGGTTACAGAGAGTTGGAGCGAGTACAAATAAGAGTGATAGAGGAAAGGATGAAGAGGAGGATAGGGGATAGATCAGGGCATCTGGAGCTGTCGATTGACGTTACATTTAAATAGTTGGAGATTATAGTTATCAGAAAAACAAGAAATGGAGAGGGAGTTCCACAGCCGAGAGGTGCGAGACATGAAGCTATTGGAGTAGAAGAGACGGCTACATTTAACAGTTTCGACAGTGAAGGGTGTGACCGAGATGCCAGCCTGATAGAACGCTTAAATTCATGAAGTCTGGGAACCAGCGAAAGCAGCTCATCGGAGCAGTTACCGTGAAAGTAATTATAAAAAACACAGAGGGAGGCGACGGCACGTCTTTGAGA